TCAGGAAATGAAGCTCGAAAAAAGTTAAAACCTCGCAATTTTTTCGTCCTGCATGTATCCAGTTGAAATTTTAACAGAAGGTAGGTGATATCCCAAGGATCAAAATCTATATCGAACCGAAGTGCGCTGAAGAGTTTTAGGGGTAAAAACTACCCCTAATTGTCAAAAATTATAAAATAACATATTAAACCTGAATGTGGGTCAAATTTGGTTTGAATTAATTAAATAATGATAGTTTCGTGCTTTTGTATAAAGTTCCATCATATTTCAACCCTTAAAAAGCGACCCTTATTAGAGATTAATATAAAAAAATTAGTAATGCGAAGAAAATGATTTCACCTTGGAACGATTTGCATAAAAATTTAGAATTAACCTCAACTCACCCTCTGCTTTATAGTTTATGTCATGCCGATGAACCCTGATTGTTCTTAGGGCTGAAAACTACCCCTAATTTTCAAAAATTGTAAAATAATACAAATCTTAAGATGAGTGAAATTTGGTTTGGATTAGTTAAATAGTGATTTTTTTATACTTTAAAATACAAATTCATACATTTTCAACCCTTAAAAATCAATTGTTATGAGTGCTATAAGTGAAAACAATTTTTTGCCAAAATTTTGCAACTTTTCAACTTTTGAAAATCACCCTTTACAACATTGTAGTTTTTATAAACTAATTTATAAGATATAAATTGAAAAAAAGTAGAATTAAATACAAAAAAATTTATCAACATAAAAAGGCACCATATATTCTTATACATTTACATATATAGTTGAAAATATTTACATTTATAGGTAAAACAATTATAATATTAATTTTATTCGTCATCAATTACATCTTCATCGTGATCTATGTCATTCTCATCTTCTTCAATTATTGGTGTACCTTCACCTGAGCACCCAGAACAAGTAGAGTTACAGTATAAACCAATTTTTCTGCACCCACATGAAACGCCGCATCCTTTTTTGCATTGGCAAAAAATAATTTTCAAAAGTTCATCGGGTGCAGGTTGTTTGTTTATGCGTACGGGTAATAACAAACCATCTTTGGAATACCATCCCCAATCTGTTGCTCTGATATTTTCATTGCCAAGCCATAGACATATGAGCAGATGTTTTATTCTGTTGTATGGGATTTCAAAATAAGAACGCTTAAAATTTCGAATGTATAACGCCCCACTAGCTAATATACCGGTTTTGTAGATTATTATGCTCCGAAATGTACTGTACTATACTAATGGAATTTTCCGGAAAAAAATTAACTGGTTTTTTTAACGTATTTCGTTTAATTTTTAACGATAGAGTGTTTCTTCAAAAACGATTTGTAGAGGTTTTTAAGAGCTACAAGGATCTGTGAATTCAATCTTTTTGCAACCCTTGGTTTTTAAATGGGGTGAGTTTAAAGGGCTCGAAAAAGATGATGCTTGATCGTAAATCGATGCTTTAAACGGCTATATCTCGCCAAATATTCATTGTACAACAAACCTAAATAAAGGATAATTTTAGTCATTAAAAAAGCTACAATTTGGTCATTTTTATTTTTTTCATATATTCAGTATTTTCGGGCATATTTAAAAAAAGAAGGGTAAAAAATATGAAATTGTAAATCGTTTCTCGCTTTAAGCTGTACTTTTTCTAAAACTAAGCATTTTAAATGGGTCAAACTTCTTGGACGTATTAACAATATATGTACAAAGGGAATTGCAGAAGGGTGAAGATCGATTTTAATTATGGGGGTGATTAGGGGGTTGTTTTCATCGATTTTTTCGTAAAAAATGAGGTATTGACCTTATTTTCATCATAACTCACTCAATTTTTGAGCTAGAGTCTTTTTTTATGATAGGTCTATTTATGATCTTTAAAAAAGGTTTTGTGAGTTTTCTTCCAAAAATGCATCATTTTCCCGATATTTGACTTTGAATCTTTCAAATTTGGCATTTGAAGAAAATCGCTGAACATTGATAGGCCGTATTTCGGTTCCTATTATATCGCAAAATATTTTAAAAAATGAATTGTATTTGTCTTTTTAAAAGCTACAAATTTGTTCTCTACAATTTTTTTGATACAATGCAGCATTTTCGAGTTATTCGCGAAAAATCGATTAAAAACGTGGATTTTTTCGTCTAAAAGTTGTTACTTTCAATCGCGAATAACTTGAAACATATCACTTTATAAAAAAAATGTATAGCACATTTTTTGTTTAGAATCACTTTTTTAATCGAAACCTGTAGTTAAAACGTAAAAAAAATTTTCACCCCGGAGATGGGGTGGCAACCACCCCCTAGGCTTTGGCGCACTTTGGTTCGATATAGATTTTGATCCTTAGGCTATTGCCTACCTTCTGTTAAATTTTAAGTCAATCCACGCAGCACGAAAAAACTGCGAGGTGAAATGCTTCATTTCCTGGACTATAACTGGTTTGACAGCATAATAAAATCGTAGATTTATGTGTAGCTTTCAATTTTTATGAGTTCAGAATCCAGCAGCCCGCTGAAGTATGGGATTTTTATAATATAATTATTTGACAATCTTTTGTTGGCCAACCACCTACAGCAGAATTGGGCAGAAATACATTATATTCCTATGTTCCGAATTTATTTAGTTCAATCTGTATATATATATATATATATATATATATATATATATATATATATATATATATATATATCGTATATATATATATAGTAGTTTTGAGTTTCTTGAACCGTATTATATTTAATATAAAATTAATATTTCTTGGGTTAGGTTCAATAAAGATATGTTACATGTGGAACTAGATTTTATTTTCCATTGCAATTAATCAACGTTTCGGCAGGAAACCCTTGCCTTTGTCAAGATTCTAAAATGTGTATATATATAAGGACAAACAGATATTGTAAAATATGTATGTATATATATATATATATATATATATATATATATATATATATATATATATATATATGACTTACCAAAACGTAAAACGTGACACCGACATTAACGAACTGACATATAAATGTTGATATCTGATATCTCATTGGTTACTGTCATTAGTATATAATTATTTTTACATGGGCGTATCGTTGATGTTTTTGAAAAAGGTAAGGTGGAGATATGTTATGACTTTAAGAGCTTTTTATGATGTTATATTGTTATTGTTTAAATCAGATTGAAATATATTTTATTTAGGTTTTGTGTATCTTTTTTGTCATTTATTGCGTTGGTGTTTCTTTTTATTTCTATTGATTCGTATATCACCCTTTTCTTTTTGTTTTTTTCTGTTTTTAAAATTTTAATGTTTTCAAAGTCAAATTTATGCTTCTTCCCGCTTTCATGTTTTGTGAGCGCAGTGACGTTGTTCTTGTCGTATTTGTGAGAACGAATTCTGGATTGAAGCAGTTGACTGGTTTGACCGATATAGACACCTTCACAGTTTGTACATGGTATCTCGTAAACAACATGTGATTTTTTAAGTTTTGGAGTTTGTGTTTTTAGTTTTGTGAAGTATTTATTTAAGAGGTTGTTGCCTTTGTGGGCTACTGTTATATTATGTTTGGCTAAAATATTTGTTAGTTGTTCGGATAAACCTTTTATATATGGAAGAGATGTATAAGTGGTTTTGATACTGTTGGGTTTGTTGTTAGTTGTATTGAACCTAACCCAAGAAATATTAATTTTATATTATATATATATATATATATATATATATATATATATATATATATATATATATATATATATATTCAAGATTTTAAAGTATTTGTTTGTCTTTGTGTAGTGTATTGTGATGCTCCATTTTATATTTATGACATTCTACTCTTGTCGGATAGGCCGCAATTGACGAGCCCCTGAAGATGATCTAGTGATCGAAAGTACTTGGGAAAGATTAAATTAATACTCTGCTCGATATTTGCCTTTTACATTATCAAAATTTATTAAAAAAGTATTTATTTCTATAATACTTCTTTTTCTTCACATGCAAAAATCAAGAATCTCCTGTTCTATCTAAAAAGGGCATATAACAGCTTTTTGTATTTTCTTATTTTTAAACATAAGCTTTATTTTAATCGATGTCATATTTTGCAAATTGCTTTCTAAATAAATATTTTTAATGTGTAGTAAGCATTCTCAACTTTTAAACAACAAATTAGTATCTATAGCAACAAGTTAACATTTCTTCTTTCAAAACCCGCTTTTATCGTATGTGCCCTTCTCACGTAGACCGCTTCAATTACTGAACTTAGCAATTGTGACAGGTATACAGCTTTTAGACAGAGATTTTAGACAGCAGATTAAATAAAAAACAGGTTTAAATTAAAATAAAAATATATTTGAAACAAATAAACAGCCACTTATTCTTCTAGTGTCGACTCCATGAATGAAGGTTGGCTATAACCATTGCAAATTTGCCTCTATCTTCTGCTTTTCTTAAAAGCGTGTGTGTATTTAACCCGGTCCAGTAGCGTATGTTTTTAAACCAGGATATTAATCGTCTACCAGGACCCCTTTTTCCTTCGATTTTGCCCTTCATAACCAGCTGTAATAACTCGTACTTCTCATTTCTAAGTATGTGCCCCAAATTTGCTGTCTTTCTCCTATTAATGGTGGTCAAAAGCTATTTGTCTCTTCCCATTCTATGCAAAAACCATTTCGTTCGTAATATGTCCGGTCCATGGTATTTTCAAAATTCTTCTAAAAATCCACATCTCAAAAACTTTCAGCTTTCTCATTAAGTCATCTTTAATAGTCCAAGCTTTGGCACTATAAAGAAAAATAGAGTGGATATCATCAGATGTCGGATTTGCAGATTGAGTCTTTGGTTACTCAGAAATTTCCTCATCGTCAAAAAGGCTGCTCATGTTTGCTCTATTCTTGATCAAATTTCTGATTTTGGATTTAGATGTTCAATAATCAAGATTCTAATCCAAACAATAAACACTTTTCCTCGTATTTTAATAAATAACTATATTTATCACATTACCTATTACTTCTGAAACTATATTACCGTAGTTTTATTTTTAGGCAATAGGATGGGACATTAGTGCTTACTCTAACATCGCTAATTGGTTAGCAAGATGTACATTGGCTATTCCAGATTATGAAGAAGCAAATCAAAAGGGAGCAGATTTATTTGGTAAATTAATAACAAGTAAATTGGCCCCTGGACAACTATAAAAATTGGGGTATACTATATTTTAGATAATTATTTAAAAAAACTGTTCAAAAAGCAAAAACCAAAATATACATATTGAATAGTACTTAACTGAATGTTTTTCTTTTATTGCACCGTCTTCTGTCAAAGGTTGGCAATCCAAATGGTAATTATAGCTTTGAAAACTGCTTCACAAAAGATTTCTGTAGATGAGCGGTCAAACCATCTCCTCAGGTCTTTCAGCCACGAGTTCTGGCGTCTTCCAACTTGTCTTTTACCCTGCAGTTTACTTTCTATTATGATTTGGAGTAATTTATATCTTTCACTTTTCAACACATGACCCAAGTATTGTATTTTTCTCTCTTTGATTATGCTGAGTAATTATTTTTGTTTACTCATGCGCCGAAGTACCTCTCCATTGGTAACTTTTTGTATCCATGAATCCATGAAATTTCAGCATCCGTGTGTATGTATACATTTCAAAGGCATCTATTCTTTTTTCTGTTTCAGAGTCCATTGTCCAACTTTCACAGCCATACAGCAAAACAGAGAAAACGTAACATATGATCATTCGAATTCTGAGCTCTAGACTAAGATCTGATCTTGTAAAAAATGTTTTTATGCTCATGAGTGTTTTCCTCACTTGTTCCATCCTTGACAGGATTTATTTTTTGGGTTACACTGGCTGTTGATATTTCCTCCCAAATATTTTATGGAAGTTATCTGTTTTATTACAAGGAGAATTACAAGAAGGCGTATTAGTCAACGGAATGCGTCCAAACAACATTAGATATGCCGACGATGCAGTAGTTTTTGCAGATAGTCTAGACGGTTTGCAAAGAATAATGTAACGGACTTGATCTTAATACGAAGAAAACAAAGTACATGGTAGTCAGTAAGCGCGAAATATTAAATACATAGCTTTTGGTTAACCAACATACAATTCACAGAGTGGACAGTTACACATACCTTGGTACAAACATTAACAGCCAATGGGGTCACTCCAGTGAAATAAAATAACGCATAGGAAAAGCGAGATTAGCGTTCATAATGATGAAGTCTCCTTTCAGAAGTCATGATTTACCCCTTGCTACCAAAATCTCTCTCATTAGATGCTATGTATTTTCTACCTTATTATACGAAGTAGAGGCCTGGACACTTTCCAAAGCTTCCTTAAGAAAACTCTAGGCATTCGAGATGTGGTGTTACAGACGTATCTTAAGAATTTCATGGGTGGATCGTGTGCCTAACGTTGAGGTCCTACGTAGAATAGGCAAGGAATGCGAGATTATTAACACCATCAAAGAGCGCAAACTAGAATATCTTGGCCATGTTATGAGGAATGAACAGAGATACGGCTTGTTGCAACTCATTCTTCAGGGAAAGGTATTTGGAAAGAGAGTACCAGGGAGAAGAAGAATATCTTGGTTTCAAAACCTGAAAAAGTGGTTTAATACATCGATAACTGGACTATTCAGAATAGCAGCAAGCAAAGTTAGGATAGCCATGTTGATCGCCAGCATCCGGAACGGATAGGCACCGTAAGAAAAAAAAGTTCTGTTTTATTATTTTTCCCTTGGCGTACAAATGTACGTTTGTTGGTATCTTTGGAAAGTTTTAGTTTTGGAAACATTTAGATGTAAATCGAACATTTCACTATGAAGAACTACCGCATTTATTATATTTTGTAGTTCTTCTGCGTTGCTTGCTATTAGCGCGGTATCATCAGCGTACCTGATGTTGTCTATGTTGGTTCCGTTAATCTTAATTCCACCTTGAACGTCATCTAATGCTTTTCTAAATATAGATTCCCAACACAGATTAAATAATAGCGGTGATAAGACGCAATCTTGTCACACTCCACTTCGGATTCGTATATCTTCGGATGTTGTGTGCTCTATTTCAATTGTTGCTGTTTGGTGCCAATATAGTTCTGAGATAATTCGCAAGTCTTGTGCGTCAATCCCAGTTGTTCTCATAATTTCGACCATATTTTGATGATTACCGCAGTCAAATGCTTTTCGATATTCAATAAAATATGTATAGACATTTATCTCTGCATTGTTGTGTTAACACGTTTGAGGCAACAGGGCTTCTCGTGTTCCCTATCCAGATCCGAATTGAGCGCCACTCATCAGAAACTCACACCTCTTGTAAATTCGTGTATGAATGATTCTGAGAAAAGTTTTAAGAACATGAGGCATCATACTTAATATTTGATAGTCATCGCAGTGTGAGGCATTAGTTTTTTTGGTAATGTTAGGAATGTAGATTTAAGCCAGTCTGATTGTATTTTACGTGTGTCATATATCTTATTGAATAGTGCTGTTACTTTCGTTATCTGCAATTAATTCAAGGGTTTCGACATTGATATTGTCTGGACCGGTGGTTTTCCCGTTCGTCTGAGCTTTTAATGCATAAATAACTTCTTCATTTGTTATTTTTGAACCGTTTTCATTTTTTTGATCATTCGTGGATGGTGGAGAACAAGGTCTATCCTCGCCAAAAAGTGTATGAATGTTTTCTTTTTATCTCTCCAGTTTGTCTTCTGTATCTATAATTATCTCGTTATTATTATTTCTTAATATTGTTTCTTGTCTGTTTTTGTGTCTACCTGTCATTTCTTTTACTTTTTTATGGACATTACAGGTGTCGTATATTTCCTGAAATTGTTCAATTTCTAGGTATTACATCTATAAGATCCATGATCTCTTGCGTTATTCAGTTTTATTTTCTGTTGTTTTTTGTGAACTCGATTTCATCTTATTGTATCTTTGTTATTTTCGTGTTTAGAGTAGTCCATGTTATTTCAACGTTTCTCTGTTCCAGGTTCTCTAGCGTTTTTATTTCATTCTCAACCTTGATACTTAGTTTATGTTTCTTTTTAGGGTTCTTGAGTTGTGAGATGTCTATTTTTCTTGACACTTGTTCCCTTGTAACTTTAAGAAACCTTTTTAGTCTAAAATCCAATATAACTGGATTGTGCTCGCTATTAATGTCAGTTCCTGGATATGTTTTAGTAGATTTTATGTACTTCTTAAAGTTGTTGTCGAGCAAAGTGAAGTCAATTTGATTTCTAACAATTTTATCTTTTCTCTCTGCAGGTAAAAAGTAGAGTTCGTGTAACCTTCTGGCTAAGGTCTAGTGCTAGGGTTTTCAGGTCGCGCAAACGTCCCTAACATGACTTAACGACTACTTTCGTAGCTGTTCAGCATGCTCAGTATTTCAAATCTGCGGACCTGGCTGGACATCTAGAGTTTTTAAAAATTGGAACAATACAATCAATGCAGAGGCCCAGAGATGTCTACAAAACTCAAATTAAATGTCATTAAAAAGAGTGAGCTAAGATGAAACGATACCTTACAAATCACAAGAAATGCCTTCACGTGTTATATTGACAGGTCAAAATCACAGGACAGAGTAGGAATAGGTGTTGCTGGACATTTAGGAGTACTTAATAACTGCAAGCTGCATAAGGCTCCTTAAGCAATTGACGAAGAACAAGAAAGTAACTTTGTTGTGGTTGCCGAGCATAAAGAAGTTGTTGGTGATAAGATTGTTAATAGTATTGCTAAACAAGGAGTTATTACTCCTTTAACAGAACCAGATTAAAAAGGCGTATAGTAACGATGTGCATCGCCACCATCCCGCATACGTTCCGTTCATACATACTCCCAACGCTGAGTTTTACTTCCATCGATTCGCGTTATACTTTGCTTTAAGTTAGGAAAATAACATTGCGTTTATGGAAATCAGTGTTGCCAAAAATCTCAGGCACATGTTGCTATTAGATTGTGATATATGATTCATTCTAATCAGAGTCGTATTCAGCACTGTGTAGTTATAGTTAATTAATTTTACTAATAAAAGGATATGTATATAGGTATGTAATTATTATAGGTCTAATAAAAATAGTTAAATTTTACTATTGTTTAACATTACATATTTATTAACGCTTTAGATAAGATGTAATTAAAAAAAAACAAGTGCAGCTCTAATTTTATTTTTATCTAAGTAATAACAACAATTGCATACATAAAGAATTTTCCTTGTATACAGGGAGACAGGGTAAACCACCCCTAACGGAACGGAGAAGATTACAGCAAAAGAGTAAAAAAATTAAAAATTTTAAATAATTGCTTTGTAAGTTGATGCAACACTATTAGAAAATCAATGCTAGGTGTGATTCAAATCCCAGAAAGAATAATAATGCTAAAAATTCAAGCACGGAACTGTAATATTAATATAATCCAAGTCTACGCTCCCACTGCTGATAAGACCAAAGATGAGATCGAAAAGTTTTATTCAAAATTGCACGATACAATCAAGTTAACAAAATCTAGAGATATTACTTTCATTTTAGAAGATTTTAATGCAAAATTGGAGTAGGTACAGTTGAAAATATAGTTGGACAGTTCGGACTAGGAACTAGAAACGAGAGAGCAGAAAGGCTCATAGAATTCTTCAAAGAAAAGAATATGGTAATTGCCAATACTTGGTTTCAGCTTCCTAAAAGAAAACTATATACATGGACGTCTCCTTCACATACAGAAAACCACATTGTCAGAAACCAGATAGACTTTATACTCGTAAATAGCAGATATACAAACTCTATAACCTCAGTTAAAACTTATCCTGGAGTAGATGTTACCTCAGACCACAATACATTAGTGGCTGACGTGAAAATAAAATTAAAAAGAATTGAACTCAGAAAACAACAACCAAAAATTAACGTAAGAATGCTACAAAACGAGGAAATAAAAACGATTTAAAAAAAATGTGAATGTTAATATGCAAAAATAACTGACAACAAACAAATTAGGGATGTAAATAAAAAGTGGTATAATATAAAAGACACATTACTGAAACCAGCTAAAGAAAGTTTAATACAACATAGGTCAGAGACTAAAAAGCAGTAGATGACAGAAGAAATACTATTACTGATGGAAGAAAGAAGGAAATATAAAGGAAAACATCTACAGAAGTAGAAAGAAATACAACGAATAATTAAGGAAAAAATCAA